TGGAAGATGAGAAATACAAATTGCTCCTTCTGATCTAAACTATAAGGAAATGTAAGACTTCAGCAACAAACCAGGATACCCGGTATCCGGTAAAAGTAATGTCAATTGAACAAATATGATGTTATTTGTTGTACATATTGATTATGAAACTCTTAACTAAACAAATTTAATTTACAATTTGAAAAAAAAAAAAATTAGTTCAAGAAACATATTACAGATTAACAATTGGCGTGACGTTGCAAGGCTTAAGTATGTTGTTGCTGCTGTTCATACTGCATATTCAAAATCATCGACGTCATTGAAAATCGATTTGCCAATTTTTGTGACATGGGAAGTATGGAAGAGATGAAATACAAATTGCTCCCTCTGATAAAAACTACCAAGGATATGTTAGACTTCAGCAACAAACCAGGATACCCGGTATCCGATAAAAGTTAGGTCAATTGAACAAAAACAGCTAAGAAGTAGAAGGTAGATAAGCTTTGCAAGAACCTAAGCATATGCACTGAGAACCCCAGATCAGGCTGCTTTTTAAAACAGAGAATCTCCCTGGCAATACAGATTGCGAACGCCGCTTGCGTACTCGGAACAATATATGAGAAATTAACTTTCGACGAAATTTTTTATTTGTAACACTTGTATATTATTTTTTCTCGGGTCGAGTTGCGTGTTCTTATTGAAGAAATGTAACCCGTATCGATTTTAATTGAAAAAGACTTAAACACTTGACTTCTTCTTTTATTATTATCACTTCCATATCTAGAAAACTCCAAGGATTTTGACTGGATTGCGTGATGAAGGGACTCCTGTTTGTAACCTCGGTTACTATGATACTTTTGAACTTCTGATTACCTATTGAAAAAAAATACTCGTGAAGTGCTGATTGAAATGGAGAAAAAATTCAGAAATACACTAGCAGCTAACAAATCGACGGAACAAACAAATCAAATCCAAATAATCAAAATCATCCCCCCATTCAAGTCAGCTGAAAGTCTGGCACAAGCATATCGAAGTTGTGCTTCCGATATACTCAAACATTTCCCCTCAACCATGCAACAGAAGATGACAATCTCAAAAACAATAACTCTGGCAAAAGAGGACCGCAAACTTGTTACACTGACAGTTATTGCTCCCCCCGAAGCAGAGCAATTCAAAACCAGCATCAAAAGCGAAGGACTCATTCAACTTAACAGGAGGGTATTTCCCATGGGATGCTTTCCAAGGTCTCATAGACCCAAGAACATTTACCCTAAACTAGCCAAAATCAAATTGTCGAAATTGCCTTATATATGCAATGATATCGATGCGAAATTAATTCTGCAATTACCGGAAGCCATAACTCATCACCCTATATTCCAACCTGAGACCTGTATTGTAACTGAACCGGGTCAGTATGTTTATAGAGGAAAAGCCATTTTAGAAATTAAAATAAAAAACGAAGAACAAGAGAAAAAGCTGACGGACTGGTCTTACAAATAGAGAATGGATGGCTTTTCACATAACTTCACTGCATGAATGTAAAAAAATGCAAGATCTCTGGACGCCAAGAAAAAAGTCATCTTGATGATTGGTGCAACATAGGAAACCAAAAATCCAATAATTCCAAAAATCAATCCCCACAAAAACCAAGCTCCAATAACGCCAGCGACGAGAAAAAAAATGACGAAACATTAAACGAAAACTTTGTAATGGCAGCGAAAATTGAAACATCACCATAAAGAGTTTTGATTAATGAATCTAAAACAAACTGTGCAGCAACTCCAAGCGAAGGAAAACAAAAGAATGAGGTTCACAATATCAAATTCAACCAACCAAGTCGAATCAAAAGTGCCGACTTCATGTACCTGCCAATACCAAACTAAATAATTAGTCTACCAGCTATTGTTATTATTACTTTCTATATCATTTGTAAATCTTTAGCCGTGAATAAATCTCTTATTAGGAACATCTTCTTCTCAACTCTCTTAGCATAACTTAAGAGGTTATGGGCCCAGACAATTCCTGAAGCGACCAACACCAAGAAATTCTGCAGCCTAACCAGCCGGATCGAGAGACGCGTGAGTATCGAGCTACAGCCTAACGAGCACTGAACCGATCGAGTACAAGACGAAAGAAGAAGTGAGCAGAGTTGCAGAGCGAACTGGACAAAAGAGGAAGTGAGCAGTACGGGCGATTTTGAGCAGACGACATCAGCAGTGAGTGTCAAGCAGACGACATCATTGCAGTAGGAAGTTGCAGTGCTACAAGCAGACGAGGCGACGTCTTAGAGTGACGTGGCATACCGGACGCATACCAGACGCGACGTGGCCCACCGGACGCATACCAGGCGATCGGGCGACCAGGCAATTGGTTGACGAAACGAGACGGTTCAAGTTGGAGAAACGATCAAACTTGACTAAGTTCGAAACTCGATCTTAGCGTTCGACATTAATTTTGTAACGCGAACTTGACGAGCTAGCACGACAATGGCGCGTGCAAATCTCGAAAAGCTGATGTTCTTTGGTAAGGAGGAGAACTTCATGACATTCATGGAGCAGTTTGAGTCGGGGATTACATGCTCAAACTGGACTGGGCGTTACGAGGCAAGATTACGACACCGGCGATCAAACCAGAGGAGCTGACTGAGGAAACGCAGGCGCGGGAGGATGCAGAGGCGGCTCGAGACGACATGCGGTATCAATTGTGGTGCTAGTTGGTGCTGTGTCTGGTTTGGCGGTCAATCTAATTCGTCCGATCACACAAACCGAACGATGTTGCAACTAATCGGCAAAGCAAGTCAATATCACTGAAGAAACAAATAAATTATACATAAATTGAGTAAGCTGATGGAAAAACTTGATGAAATTCATGTTCAGTTCAGCGATAGTTTTGATTATTCGTATTTCTGTTTCATCGATTAACCCGTATAATTCTATTTTACAGTAAATTAGAAGGCCAGAAAATATAATGATAACTCAAGTTACTTCACTAGTCCTTCGTCATTTCACTCAAACAAACATCAATGGAACTTCATACTTTTTGGAAAAGTAAAATACAACGTGAATAACAATTAAGAGTCAGATGGTTCGGCATCAAGCGAATCGGATTGAGATAACTAACACCTGCACAGAACAAACTGGAGTTGAAAGAATCTCGTAAAAATTGACCTGATATGAAGCTACCGGTCTATCAGATACTTACACTAACCTGCGCGTTCGTTCCCTTAGCTCTACAAAAAAGTTTATCATTAAAAGTGTCGAGTGCACAGGCAGCGTTCGCTACCTCTATTGCTAGGGAGATTCTCTGCTTAAGAAAACTACCTGCCCTCGGTTCCGCGGTACATTTGCTCAATTTTTTAAAGAGCTTTTTTAGGAAAATCTCCGTGCTAAGGCCAGCGGCACCCTGACCTTGAAAAACCATTGGTTGAAAAATTGTCGTTGATTGTCTTTCTGCTCTTAGACCCTTTCTGCTTCTTGACAACTGTGCTGATTGACCAAGTTTTTTTCATCATTGCCAAGTTTTGCCACTAATGATGCAATTAGGAAAAGAAAACATTAAGTGTTTTTCAAAAAAAATAGGCAGAAAAAGAGGCGAAGTTAGTAGGGTCTAGAGAAAGAAAGCTGATGCTAACGTTGCAACACTTTGATGTGTGATGCACCTAAGTAGCTCAAATCAATCAGATTCAAAAAACTTATAAATCAGCTCTAAAATTCCTCCTGTTAAAACAAGAGGCTATTATCGATTGTAGAGTCTTCAAGCTAAAAAGTCAAAATAGACACGTCCGAAACTCGGTTTTTTTTTAAAGTTTTTCCTAGTTAGCTGGATTTAATTTTTCTGCTTTTCGTTGTGAATAATCACTCTTTCTCATTGTGTGCAGTTAACAGAAACAGATAGATTTGTTAAAATAAAAAAAACAAAAACAAAACGAAAATTGTTACAAACGACCTTTATCTGTCTGTCCCTGGGGAACTAAACATCAGATCAAATTATTGCAAAGCGTGCGTATACTTCAGTCAAAAGAGGATTAATAAAATGTCTATAGTGGCACTACACATTTTTTTCTAACTTTTCATTTGACTGGTATAAAGCAAAATCAACATAAAATTAAACTATTGAATTATTTGTCAGAGTTTTGAACCTTCTATCCGGAACAGCTGTAGCAAATATCTTTATTTCTTTAAAACATGAATCAATTTTCTGAAAAATTTTTAAAAACGAGAAATCATTTTAAAAAAATGAGGTATTTTCTTATCACAAAAGCATTAGTTCAAGAAACATATTACAGATTAACAATTGGCGTGACGTTATTGCATCAACGAACATTGCAAGGCTTAAGTATGTTGTTGCTGCTGTTCATACTGCATATTCAAAATCATCGACGTCATTGAAAATCGATTTGCCAATTTTTGTGTCATGGGAAGGATGGAAGAGATGAAATACAAATTGCTCCTTCTGATAAAAACTGCCAAGGATATGTTAGACTTCAGCAACAAACCAGGATACCCGGTATCCGATAAAAGTAGGGTCAATTGAACAAAAACTGCTAAGAAGTAGAAGGTAGATATTTCAAGCGTACCAGGATACGCCGTATCCGGTACTAAAAAGTGTATTTTAACCGCAAGTCACAGATTTGCCGACTAGGACACCCAGTATCCGTTTGAACAAAAAATGTATAGAAACAGTTCAAAAACTATCTAGACGAGCTCTTAACAATTTACAATGTGTATCTTGTGTCAACAATTAGGTTAATATCTCGTTGAGTTTTTTTCGATAAATATGATGTTATTTGATGTTCATATTGATTAGGATACTCTAAACTAAAAAAATATAACTTACAATTTAAAAAAATAATTAATTAACGCACGTGCACTATATTTATTGTTTTTGCCTTCTGATTTCTACATTTTGAAAGGGAAAAGTGTATTTTTTAGTATATCTCCGGGTGAAGGCTTTTTTGCCCAAAGAGTAAAACTAAGTCATGTGTCAACAACAGCAACTGACCGAATCTCATCTACTTTTAGCCTAATTGTTGTGATAAACTTATTAAATAGATTTGTTATGTTTGATGTTTGTACCTGTTTGTGGAGCACCCTCTGAGGGATTTTAGAGACAGGTCTGTTAATTGGCTTTCTGTGGGGAGGTGGGAAACTGGATAATTTTTTAAAATTTTTTAAAATTCCCATGAACCGCTCATCATGGGTTAGTCCAGTTCCCTAAAGTCCAGTCAAAATTCTTTTTTTTACCTTTATGCTGCGTCAAGATGAGGGAAAACAACAAAGAGTGTACAAGCAAAGATTGCTTGAAACCTTCAGGACTGATAAATTGGATTAGATGTGATTGTTGTTCTAGTTGGTATCAAATGAAAATGAAAAATGGACGGAGCCAATTTTTGACAGCGAAATTGCAGACTTGATTTTACGACTCGAACCAACGGACGTTGAAAGATTTAACGCGTTCCAAGATAGATTTCGCTTCCAATGGTTGAACGTCATCCCCTGCAAAAATTTAAGCTTAAAACTGTCGAATCAACAAGTCAGAATTGCGATAGGACTTCGATTAGGCTCAAAAATATGCGAACGGCATAAATGCGTGTGCGGAAAAGACGTTACCGAGGATGGTTGGCATGGTCTTCCTTGCCTCAAAAGTGCAGGGAGATTCTCTAGGCATTCAAACCTGAATGCCCTTATAAAGCTGTGTTTATCCTCTATTCACATTCCGTCTGTTTTAGAACCACGACACCTCTACAAGACCGATCAGAAGCGACCAGACGGTTTGACGCTCGTTCCATGGGCTGTTGGTAAGCAGCTCTTGTGGGATGTAACGGTAGTAGACTCCTTAGCTCCTTGTAGGATTAATGCCGGGTCTGTTTGTAACCCTGGTATGGCTGCCGCTGAAGCGGAAGAGCAAAAAAATGACAAGTATAAAATCTTGTAAATGATGGATATCTTTTTCAACCGCTAGCTTTTGAAATTCAGGGCGCAACCGGCCCCAGCACAGAAATGTTCTGAGCAAGTTTTGCAAGAACCTAAGCATAAGCACTGAGGAAATCAGAGCAGGCAGCTTTTTAAAACAGAGAATCTCCCTGGCAATACAGCTTGCGAACGCCGCTTGCGTACTCGGAACAGTGAATGACAAATAACTTTCGAAGAAATTTTTTATTTGTAACACTTGTATATTATATTTTCTCGTAATTTTATTGAAGAAACGTAACCCGTATCGATTTTAATTGAAAAAGACTTAAGCACTTATCATCTTCTTTTATTATTATCACTTCCATATCTAGAAAACTCCAAGGATTTTGACTGGATTGCGTGATGAAGAGACTCCTGTTTGTAACCTCGGTTATCATGATACTTTTGACCTTCTGATTACCTATTGAAAAAAAAATTACTCGTGAAGTGCTGATTGAAATGGAGAAAAAATTCAGAAATGCTCTAGCAGCTAAAAAATCGACGGAAGAATCAAATCAAATATAAATAATCAAAATCATCCCCCCATTCAAGTCAGCTGAAAATCTGGCGCAAGCATATCGAAGTTGTGCTTCCGATATACTCAAACATTTCCCCTCAACCATGCAATAGAAGATGACAATCTCAAAAACAATAACTGTGACAAAAGAGGACCGCAAAGTTGTTACACTGACAGTTATTGCTCCCCCCGAAGCAGAGCAATTCAAAACCAGCATCAAAAGCGAAGGATTCATTCAAGTTAACAGGAGGGTATTTCCCATGGGATGTTTTCCAAGGTCTCATAGACCCAAGAACATTTACCCTAAACTAGTCAAAATCAAATTGTCGAAATTGCCTTATATATGCAATGATATCGATGCGAAATTAATTCTCCAACTACCGGAAGCCATAACTCATCGCCCTATATTCCAACCTGAGACCTGTATTGTAACTAAACCGGGTCAGTATGTTAATAGAGCACGAGCCATTTTAGAAATTAAAATATAAAACGAAGAACAAGAGAAAAAGCTGACGGACTGGTCTTACAAATGGAAAATGGATGTCTTTAAAATGTAGGAAATCTCGTTTCACATACCTTCACTGCATGAATGTCAAAAAAGCAAGATCTCTGGACGCCAAGAAAAAGGTCATCTTGATGATTGGTGCAACATAGGAAACCATAAAATCAATAATCCCAAAAATCAGTCCCCACAAAAACCAAGCTCCAATAATGCCAGCGACGATAAAAACAATGACGAAACATTAAGCGAAAAAATTTGTAATGGCAGCGAAAACTGAAACACCGCCATAAAGTGTTTTGATTAATGAATCTAAAACAAACTGTGCAGCAACTCCAAGCAAAGGAAAACAAAATAATGAGGTTTTCAATATCAAATCCAATCAACCAAGTTGAATCAAAAGTGCCGACTTCATGTACCTGCCAATACCAAACTAAATAATTAGTCTACCAGTTATTGTTATTATTACTTTTTGTATCATTTGTAAAATTTTAGCCGTGAATAAATCTTTTATTAGGAGCATCTTCTTCTCAACTCTCTTAGCATAACTTAAGAGGTTATGGGCCCAGAAAATTCCTGAAGCGACCAACACCAAGACGATCTGCAGCCTAACCAGCCGGATCGAGAGACGCGTGAGTATCGAGTTACAGCCTAACCAGCACTGAACCGATCGAGTACAAGACGAAAGAAGAAGTGAGCAGAGTTGCAGAGCGAACTGGACAAAAGAGGAAGTGAGCAGTACGAGCGATTTCGAGCATACGACATCAGCAGTGAGTGTCAAGCAGACGACATCATTGCAGTAGGAAGTTGCAGTTCTACAAGCAGACGAGGCGACGACTTGGAGTTACGTGGCACACCGGACGCAGACCAGGCAATCGGGCAACCAGGCAATTGGTTGACGAAACGAGACGGTTCAAGTTGGAGAAACGATCAAACTTGACTAAGTTCGAAATTCGATCTTTGCGTTCGACATTAATTTTGTAACGCGAACTTGACGAGCAAGCACGACAATGGCGCGTGCAAATCACTTAAAGTTGATGTTCTTTGGTAATGAGGAGATTTTCATGACCTTCATGGAGCAGTTTGAGGCGAGGATGTACATGCTCAAAGTGGACGGGCGTTACGAGACAAGATCACGACACCGGCGATCAAACCAGAGGAGCTGACTGAGGAAACGCAGGCGCGGGAGGATGCAGAGGCGGCTCGAGACGACATGCGGTATCAATTGTGGTGCTAGTTGGTGCTGTGTCTGGTTCGGCGGTCAATCTAATTCGTCCGATCTTTTAAACCGAACGGTGTTGCAGCGTGGAAGGCTCTGGTATAACAGTACCGGAGCTCGGAGAGGCCTCGGATACAAAAGACGAGGACGCGGTTTACGGGCATCAAGCTGGAGTCGAACGAGGCGTTGACGGATCACCTGATCCGAGCAGAGGAAATGCAGATAGATGTCCATGAAGTGGGCGAACACATGTCTGACGCGATGTTCAAGGCGATCGTACTGAAGGGTCTGCCGAGGGAGTACGAAAAAATTGTGACGCTGTTCAACCATGGCGAGGAGAAAGACTACCAGGCGGTGAAGCTGGATCTGGTAAATTTTGCGAACAACCGGAGCGGTGGTGGGCAGAACAGCGGGTTGATGAGCGGTGGTGGGAACAAACCGAAGTGTTCAAACTGCAAGCGATCCGGTCACACCGATGCGGACTGCAGACAAGCGAAGAAGCCACCGATCAAGTGGTACAATTGCGGGAAGCAGGGGCACGTCGCGAAGGAGTGTCGATCGACGACGCAGAAGCCGATGTGTGGACACTGCAACAAGATGGGTCACACCAACGACCAATGCTGGCAGAAGCATGGCGGAGGACCGAGCGGTGGTAAAGGACAACCATCGACGCAGAGCAACTACGCAACCAGCTTAAACCAGGATCCTTTCGGGTTCAGTTTCATGGCGGCGGACAACCGGGTTCGAGAAGAGACGATGCGTGATTCTGGAGTGACATCGCGGGGCAACGAGCAGATGCAATCATATGACATGATCGTCGACTCCGGATGTACCGGATATATGCTGAAGGACAGCGAGCTGTTTTAAGATCTGGACACAAACCAAGGTGGTGTGGTGGTCAATGCGAACAGCAGCCGGTCTTCTAGAATCGAGGGCCATGGAACAGCGGAGTTCTGGCTGGACGATAATACCGGGCGAGCGCAGCACTTGAAGCTGAAGGCTGCATCTTACGTACCCAGCTACAGTCACAACCTGGTGTCAGTCAGCAATCTGAACACCAACGGAGCAGTCGCAACATTCAACAAAGACGAGGCCTGGACCAAGGCACCGGATGGGACCAAACTACCATTGATGCGGGAGAGCAGTTTGTTCGTATTGAAGGGTTTCAACACACCATTAACTGATCTGGCAAATAAAGCAGTGACCATTGAGCGATGGCATCAACGGATGGGTCAGAACAACACGAAGGATGTGGGGAATCTGTAACAACTGGTAGAATGGACGGTGATCGACAAAGGTCATTCAACCAGCGATGTGTGTGCACCACGTGCTACTTAGAAGGCGAAGCGAGCTGCAGTGAAGAAGAGTTGGGGTACAAGTGCTGAAGACAAGTTGATGATAGTTCACGCAGACACACTGGGACCACTCAACGTCAAGTCGACTGATGGATATCAGTATGCGGTGGGGCTCATTGACAGTTACAGCCGGTATTCAGAGGTCTACTTGGCGAAGTTCCAGCAGTTCGTGGCGGATGTGGGCAAACCATCGACAATAGTCACTGACGGTGCACTGGAATACAACTCAATGGCGTTTAACAAGTACTGCCGGGAGCAAGCGATTCAACTCGAGGTCTCCACGCCATACATGCCGGAAGACAACGGGAAGATTGAGCGTGTTTGGCGCACGGTGGTGGGCATGACAAAGTGCTTAATGGATCAAGCCAAGATGCCGCCGATGATTTGGACATTCGCGCTACGAGCAGCATTCCATCTGAAGAACCGGAGTCTACACTCCACTCACGGATCAACACCAGTCGAGATGATGTTCGGCAGCAGATCGAATCTGGCAGGACTGAGGGTGTTTGTGT